ATTCATTTGGGTGCATGCCTGTGTGATGCTGGGTATGCGTGGTGTGATGTGTCTGGAGTCCTCTCAGTGTAATTTCATTCTCTCCTCTGTACAGCTGGGAGGTTTGACTCTAAATTCATGAGGACCCTGAGAGAAGCAGCTCTGTTCACGGCAGCTAAATTTCTTCATACCCTCCGGACCTGAAGTCGTTTTCCCTGCTGCTGTTTGGGAGATGAATAACTCGGTCGCCTTCAAGCGAAGAACAAGAGAACTTGTTCCAATTTGGGTGTAGATTTAAACTGTGGCATTGAGCCGGGGGACGGCGTGATGGGATTCAGCTGCAGCGAATGTGTTTAGGGAGCTGGGATGATGGCAGCGCTGGGGGCCAGAAGGCTGTTACATGTTTGGTATCGGGTTATATTACTGTTTACTTTGCAACATGTTCTCATTTATGGCTGCTAAAGACTTGCTTTAGTTAATGTTTACGTTATGCTGACGGATTCGAGGCTAAATAGGATTTGTATTTCTGCAGGATGCACTGTGGTCTAGCACTGCTTGCTTCTGCAAAAGCAAAGATCGGTGTCCATAACCATTAATGTTTGCAATAGAGCACCAAAGTCAGCCGAGTCCGTGTACAGAGACTAGTACTAGAGGGCACAGAAGGAAGGTTTTCATATTTTTTCAAGAAGCTGTGCTGAAAGTCGCACAGGAAACAATTCATCTTAAAACATTTTCTCAAAGTTTGAACCTTCAGGATAAAAAAACTTTTCCACCCTCTATAGCAGAGCAGTTTTCTTTTCAGGCATCTTTCTTCACACTTGCTAATGTGCTTAGCACCCTGTCTGGCTGCCATTAGGGGAATTATGCTCACACAGCGGGTGTTAAACATTGTTTGGTGCTACACTTAATCAGCTCGGAAAAGCCACCATATGTGCCGAAAACAAGATGCAGTTCAAAGAAAAAGAAAAACCCTCTTTTATGCACATATTACAAACATTTTTTGTTCTCTTTCATCGTGTGTTATGACAGTATTTTGAAGACTGGTTGCTAGGACGATTTATTTGTGGTCATGTGAGGCGTCCGATGTTCATTTTGGATTTTCATCTTCACACAAAAATATTTCAACCCTTTTTCCTTCAGCTGAGATCCGAAGATTTGACCTTAGGGATGACATGCCGCGATGCAGGATTTCCCAGACTTACCATATGTGAGGACGTAGAGTGGCTTGCCGTTAGTGTCCATGGTAGTGAGACACGGGGCCTTCGGAGAGATGGTGCCCCACCTCTGAAGGGCTGCCTCCAGAGAAGGGGGCCAGTTGGTCACCACGCCCAGCTGCTCACCCCCCATGGGTACCATCTGTGCCCCTTCAGCCTTGGGCTGGTTAGGGTCTGGCTGCTGGACTGCAGGTGGGCACGAGAAAACAGAAGAAGAAAATAATTTTTACTTATATATGTATAAGATTGATTTAACAAGCACCAAAAATACTCACTACAGGAGGAGATGTGAAAAAATATCTTTTGAATGTTTGTTTAAATTACAGTGACCAGTTATTTTAGAAAATAAGGTGGAGAAAATATGGTCACAAATGCATTCTGCAGCATGGTAACGAGGCCAGACATCCACCCAGTGCTACATGAGGAAAAAATGGAAGACCTGCTACAGATGGTCAACATCGTGAGGTCAGTCTGGATTTACAGGAAGAGACGGATGAGTCCGCCTGAATCTAGGAACTTTCCTAAGAGGAACGTTCCTGCCCACTACTGTAAAACGTTTTAAAGGCAAACGGTGGTCACGTCAACCACGTCCAAAATATTCACCCGACCATCAAACCACCACAAATGAACTATTTTCTCCCATTTAAGTCAAGTTTCCTAAAATAATCAGTCCAGCTGTTCAGGTCACAGTGAAATTAATACATTTATGTTTCTTGGTTCTTTACGATCTGCAACTTTTATTGCAGATTACAGGACATCAAATATCTTTAACTTTGCTTTTATGCTTTTTTAATAAATTGAAAAGACATAATGTCAACCAGCGACCTTTTACATGAACAATATGACAAAGCTGATATTAAATTAACCCGTATAAATCAATAGAATATCATAATACAGAATTGTTTATTCTTATTAGTTCACTGTATTATACAGCCATGTAGAAATGTGGGTGTTAGGGATAATGAAACATTTACTGCGTGTCACCACTGCTGTAAGACAGAAAGTTCCCCGGAAAGAGCTTTTAATCAAGCAAAACGCCCTGCTAATGAATTTCAACGACATGCTGAACCAAACCGAGTCTTTCCAACATTTGCTATTCGTGCTTAAATTATGAATTAACTTCTGGCTCTGCAGCGTTTGATGCTGAAAACAGAAGGAAATATTCATCAGTTAGACTCTGCTTTGTCAGAGGAGACTTTAGGGAATGAGGTTTAGTCATTTGTCTGCATAGATTATTTTTCGAAAGTTTTAGCAAAATATATGTTTTTACCACCACTCAACTTTAAGTCAACACTGAAAGAAAGACTGGCAGAATCATTGTCATGTTACGTATTTGTTTTAAGCCTGGAGATTAGTATTTGGCCCCAGCTGTGTTTGGGGGGGAGCCAAAATATCAGGATAGGCTGGAGTACCAAGTTATCAGCTAATGCTAACAAGCTAGGTTAGCATAACCTGTATGAGTGCATCACACAGGCACATGCTAATCAACATGCTAATTAGCTCCAAGTAATATACAAATAATAACTACAGTTTCACTCACTCAACTGTTAGACGTCAGGGAATCACCCAAAAAGCCACCAATATAAGAAGCTAAGCTAAGTAGCCTAATTTAGCCCCTAACCACGCTACCTAAAGACTGGTTGGTGACACCCTGGCAACCACTGGTCACTAAGGAAAAATGTGTAATCTCTTGGCTGCTGGAAGAAACTATGACAAGTCTGATGCAAAGTTAACGTTTCCCTTTTGGAAAGTTGTTGCAATGGTAGGGGACAGCTTTTACTTTGAAGGTTCTCCATTTCCAGCTTGTGTTGCATAAGTTTCACTACTGCTCAGCGAGTGTTTGTAGACAAGTCAGCACCTTCCATGCAAAATACACCAAATCACTGCAATCTGCTAGCAATCGAAGCATTCACAGGGAGGTTTTTGGTGCAGCATCCTCTTTGAGAACAACAGCTTGCTGACCACTTTCGATGTTCATATCCCATCTAATGTGGATGAGGGGGTGGTCTAGGCACTCTCAAGAGTTGGGAGTTCGTCTTGTAATCGGAAGGTTTCCGGTTCGAGCCCCGGCTTGGACAGTCTCGGTCGTTGTGTCCTTGGGCAAGGCACTTCACCCGTTGCCTACTGGTGGTGGTCAGAGGGCCCGGTGGCGCCAGTGTCCGGCAGCCTCGCCTCTGTCAGTGCGCCCAGGGCAGCTGTGGCTACAATGTAGCTTGCCATCACCAGTGTGTGAATGTGTGTGTGAATGGGTGGATGACAGGTTGTGTAAAGCGCTTTGGGGTCCTTAGAGACTAGAAAAGCGCTTTACAAATACAGGCCATTTACTAAGGGGCAACCAAGTCTTTCCTTAACTGGCTGCAGTTGTTTCTTTAACTTTCTTTGCATGTTGTGTATCGCTCTTTCAATTTTGTGTTACAATTGTGTATTCACCATTTCACACATTTTTGCAAGAACATGAATCAAAATATACAAAAACAAGTATTTTCAAGTATTTTTAAGAGTGAAAAGAGAAGCTGTTACCCTCCAAAAGCTCTTCAAAGTCATCGACGAAAAACTCTCTCAATGGCGGCCGTTTGGGTCTCTTCAGAGTGTTGACGAGTTGCTGTATTTTGGCTGAAACTCTGCTGCTGACTGGAACACCTGTGGAGCGTGAACAGACACACACAAAAAGACCAGACGTTTTAATCCAAGTCATAGCTTAGACTTTCTAATTGCGCTTTCACAGGTGCACACGTGAAGTAGTCGCTGAGCAGCCCACCGTTTTATCCGTGATAGAAAAAAAACCCCAAGTTTTAACTCTACACTGAAGAGCCCTCGAGTGAGCAATCAAGACAGCTGCCGTACAAAATGACACTCAAAATGCAAAAATAGCGTATGAGATGAGGTGTGGGCTCAAATTGCTCTTTCATTAAGGCCATTTTCAAACCCACAGAGTTTGTAGCCTTAAGACAGAGAAGGAAATGAAAGTCTAAATGTGGATGTAAACAGATGTACTGGAAGACTTGGTTTGGGCTGCAGGGTGAACCAAAGACAGACGTGATGTTGTTAAGATTATTATTTCGTCTGTGTGTGAAGGTAAAGAAGCGCTACTCAGTGAAACTCGAATACTTTTGTTTTCACCCTCCGCAGTCCTCGGGTGCTTTTTGTTTGCCTTTTCTCTCGTCAGGCTTTTCTCAAGCAACTCAACACAAAGGAAGCGTCTTTTTTTCCATCCCTGGCTGTTTCACATTTATCCAATTCATTGAACTTATCCTTGCAAAAGACCACTGCACTGTATGAACTGCCAATGTTAGAGGTTAGCTTGCAACACTCACACCAGCTGTGCGTGCGTGGGTGGATGTTAATGTGCAATCATGTAAAACTCAAACTGCAACTGACCTCAGCAGCTCACCAGGAAGTACATTTCTTTTATCCAAACATTTTCTTCTGCCCCTTAAAACGTATTAAGAACATGCATAAAATGCACATTAATGTTTGGCGGTGCAAATTTTAATCCGCCCACACATGCTGCACACGTGCTCCACATTTCAACATAAAGCGGGTGAAACCAGGCGGGAGTGAAATGGTGAACGACAGATGCATGTCGCAAGAGTGACCGACGAGGCGCCGCAGACGAAAATGAAGCACGACAAGAGGAGGTACAGCATTTGCTTTACCCAGAAAAAGGACTCCACTCTCATTCATCTGATGAATCCAGATAAATTATATTTTGTTTTCAAATTTGGGGTTTCTAGATACCTGATCGCAAGATACACTCGATCCACAGCATACTGCAAATCTCATGTTTTATACTGTACTTCAGCCGCCTGTCCCAGTGTATCCTGTTTTTTGCCCAATGACAGCTGGGCTGGGCTCCCTCTGCAAACCTGAACTGCATACGTGGTTAAAACAATGAACGTCTGGATAAATGTACAAGTTACAAAAAGGAAAATACCCTTCAAGGATAAAAAAGCCTTAAAAATTAAATATAATACTACCACAGGAAATCCTCAAAAATCCAAACACTAAGTATTAATGATGAAACATGTTTCGACTAAAGCTCATCTTTGGAAATAAAAGGCTGCGCAGCCCGACTGGAAGCAACACAATAAAAAGTGTGATTTCAGATGAAATCCTGTCTACTTTGTTGCATCTCTTTCAACCAAACATCCCGACAGGGCCCCCGTGTGCAAACTCTGGCATCTGATCTATCAAACCACTTCACGCATTCAGCATCGCGGCCCGCGGCAGCATCCAGTGTATTGTCTGATGAATAACTCAGTCTGCTGGAGCCTCGCGTCCCTCCAGAGAAGGAATTATTGAACTAGGAACCAGCAAACTGCCAACCTCTGTCATCTTTGAGGTCTCTGCAGAAATCTGTGGATTCATCTTTTGCAGTGCTAAAAGGCATTACGAACCAAATCCGATCCCCCGCCACGTCCGGACTACAAAGAGCTGGTTTATATAACCGTGAATGAAGATAAACTCTTTGTTGGATTTTGCTGATACAGTTTGTGTTGTTTAGACTACAAGATTATACACCTGCCTGTGATAAGAAGAAGAGAAACACCTGCAGAAAATTATTACGGATGAACTTTTTTGGTTTTACTTTTGCAAGAAAAATGAAAAATTGAAACAAAAAAGCAACAAAAAACACAATAAAAGCCTCACATGAAAGTAACAAAACATTCTAGCCTTCAGCTCTTCTTCTCTCATCATGATCATCATATGATCAGGATGTTCTTCACATCCACTAAGACAGAAAATATGATGCATTCCTCCAAAGAAAATGCGACATAATCAGAGAATTTCACCTTGAAAAACACGAGCAACTGTTCATATTTGCCCGTCTTGACTCACCGTCTCCAGTTTCCATCAGCTCGGCGTTGCCGTACTTGGGCGTCTGTCTTTGGGCTGCGGTGCCAGCGCCTGGGGCTCTCTCCACCTGGATGGCGTCGTTCGCGGTGGTGTTGGCGGTATTGTTGGTGTAGCCGGTGACATCTGGAGGGGCAGAGTGGTTCTCTGGGATGTGAGAAAATAGGGAGGCGGGTTAGTACCCTCACACATCCTGCTGTTACTACACTCTAAATGTGGATCAGAAACCCAGCACGACCCAGTAAATTATAAACATATCTGCTGAATGACAGACTAAAGAAGTTTCTACTTAAATGAAATTGACACAAGAAGTCAAAGATGAAGTTGAACATCAGTGAAACGGCATTAAAGCAGCTGAGGTGTCGATCGAACGGTTAAACAAAAACTGATGAAATAAAACGCTGATTAACCGATAACGACTGGAGACTGAAACATCGGCTGAATATTAATAAGTGTTGTGCGTGCAGAAAGGACATAAAGTGTCAGTTAAGTTGTGACGACTGAAAGCAGCGGAATCGTCAGTTTAAATGTTGGTTGAATCACCAGCTCTTGAGCCAGCAGAGGCGAAACATCAGTGCCTGAAAACAGCTGTGGCTTCAACAGGCTTTCAGACAGGAAGTGACACAGACAGTCAATGAAATTCAGATAATTAACAAAGTTAATACTTTAGATGTTTTAGTCTGTTTTACTAAAGACGGTTCCATAACCTATTGTTTCAGGAAGGACATTGAAAGTATAGCAAAGCAATAGTAAAGTTTGTTTGTGTGCTTATAGGAAAAGTTCAAGATGTAGACTTTATTAACCTGCTATAAAGGCAATAAAATGATTTCTAGTAAAATTCTTAAAGATATGTGGATAAAAACACTATTGGAAGCCACAAGAGACAGCAAATTAGGAAGAAATTCACTGACTTCCAAAGAATCTTTAAAGAAGAATCATGTCGGGGGCTTAAAGATGTGACACACTTCAAAAAATAGAGCAAAAATCCACCAGAACCACCAAATCCCTCCAGAATCTCCCAATCATTCCTCACTGATCGCTCCACAAACCGCTCATTTCACCACCACCTCCCTCTACTGCAACATCTGCCTCTCACAAAAACACCCACATCATACCGTTCATTTCTGGTTGTTTTTCACCCTATTTTGTGCTGCATTTAGATACTGCTTCAACCTGTCTGCTGTGCCTAATGTTTCCAAGCACATAGCATTCCTTAAATTCTTCAAATCTACCTCTTTTATGAGGCTGGGATGCAGTTCAGCAACATCAAACGCTGTTTACTGTTCTGCCCGAGGGCTTCTTTACTTTGAGTGGTCGAAGCATGAAATGATGATAGCAGGAGGATGCGCGGTGAATCTAAATTGGGATGTGTGTAGGTATATCCTTACGTATCCTTTATGTATCTTTGCACTGAGTCAGAGTGCCCACTTCAAGTTAATCCAATAGAAAGCCATCCCCACAAGGCCAAAAGTAGGTTTGTAGTTCTACGCGTTGCTGTTTTTGCTGCGTTATGTGCGTCATTTGCATTGGGTTACCACTGCATTAACATTTATAGCACGCTGAGATTGATCTTGTAGTCTTGGGTTTCAGAGTTGCAAGGTTCCCTAATGTTCAGTGTGGGTCATTTAGTGCTTCGTGCATTTGAAAATCCCTCCAGCTTCTCCTTAACGGGCCTCCTGGAAGGTCAGAGGTCAAGTGCAGATGTAGAATAACAATCACAGAGGCAATCAGGATGCAAAGTGCATTGAAACATCTGTAGGGTGCGTCTTAGACATTAACCACTCTCTGAGAATACCGGGACACTATCCAACCGTTGAGTCCATCTCGGTTATATTTTAGTGTTGAACAAAACACACTTAAACCCTTTAAGTTTGAAACACAGCTCAAGGGAACTAAAAGTTGTCATTTCAACTTTTACCTCAACTTCAGAATAGCAGGACTGAAGGAGCACCTCTTTGCTTAACTTCTAAAACACCCTCAAAGAGAGGTCACCACTTTGGATGATTTATATGTGAACGCTTGCCTCGCTGCTCCCATTCGCAGCCTCCCACATGATGCACCGCTGCTTCAGTCAAGGACCAG